CCCCCAGCCCAGAAGGAGCGGCTTAAGGCCGCGTCTTTGTCCTCGGTTCTGAAGGTCACATCACGCCAGCTGAAGTCCTTGTGCATGGACCAAGGGGGACCTATTCAGGAACCCGCAAAATCAGAACCGACACGGGAGCCAGGCCTGGGCGCCAACGCCGAGAGGCCGCTCTGGAAGGGCCGCCAGGGGATTTTGGTGAGGTCGAACCAAGAGAAGAATAAGGCAAGATAATAAAAAAACTGAAACAGCGATTCGATGATAAACTAGAGGGCTGGGAGGGATCTGGGTACCGGGACCAGAGGACAGGAGCGATTCCCACCTGGGCCAAGCAGTGCCAGGATGCAGATGGATAAAGATCGTTTCTGATGGGCTCAGCCCGGCGGGTCTCAGGGCCCGAAGTCGCTGCCCCACTGCGCCCGTGACTTGTTCCCAGGAGGCCACTAGCATCCACGGCCGCGGTGGCCTTTAAGTCTTTGCCTCCAGGAAAGGCGACCGAGGGACCGAGATGTATGAAGGGAGGAAACTGGAATTGTTTCTGATTGCCCTCTGGAAACGGGGTGAGGAAGCGAGAGAGAGAAGGAGAAAGAGAAGGAGAGAGAGAGAGCCAGCCTGCATGCACACACACACACACACACACACACACACACACACACACACACCCCTCGCGGACGGCGCTGATCCAGCCTAAAGCCTCTGCAATTTCACGCAGACATCCACTTATTACCTCTGCGTTTGATTCTGCCGTTCCTTCAACGTTATTACGGCAGGAGCAGAGCCAAGAGAACACAGGGCGACGACGAAGCAGGAGCCCAGCCCACCCCCCACCCCGCCTGCCTTCCCCGCCACGATGTCATCTGCTCCCTTTCGCCCCTTCCGTGAAAGTCCACCCCGTCCCCGGCTGCGGGTCCATCCAGCCCAGAGCCCCAGAGGGCCCAGTCCAGTCGGCAGTGCCAGAGGGGACAGGCATGCTCCCACATGCCCCGTGGATGCCCCATGTGGACCCGGATGTGCCCCCCACCCCCGGCCCCCATAGGTCTGAGTGTCCAGCCTAGGAGTGGCCCCAGGACCTTAGCTTTGCTGGCACATGGGGCAGCGATGGGGTTAGAAGCCCCCCAGACCAGAAACAGAACCACAGCAGGGTGGGCAAGCCAAGCCTCCCTGGAGCCGGCCACTCGCGGCGGGCGTGTGAAGTCAATCTCCTTCCAGAAGGGTCCAGAACCAGCAAAACAAAAACAAAAACAAAAGGGGCTGGAGCGCTGGCACAGCAGGGAGGGCGTTTGCCTTGTATGCGGCCGACCCGGGTTCGATTCCCAGCATCCCATAGGGTCCCCCGAGCACCGCCAGGACTGATTCCTGAGTACAGAGCCAGGAGTCAGCCCTGAGCATCGCTGGGTGGGACCCACAAAATAAAAAAAAAAAACCGAACCTCGGAGGTTATTGCCACATTCCCGTGAGTCTGTCCCCAGGGAAACCCACGTCGGTGGTGATTAGATACAGACTCAGCAGAGCACCCGGCCCAGCTCCAGAGGGAAGGGGCGCCCCTCTGGCGAGACGGGGCTCCAGGCTGGGAGGGCCTGGGGGGGGGTGGTCTGCAGGCTTTCGGGGGCCACTGAGGGTCATGGAACTCAGTTCGGAAGCCCCCAAACCTGGGGCGCCCGGCTCCCCAGGGCAGGAAGGGGCCAAGTCCAGCCTGCAAATGAGTCCCCCAGCCAACCCCCCACCCAACCACTTGATCCCCCCCAATAAACAATAGCACTGTCGCACTGTCCTCCCAATTCGTTCATCGATGTGCTCGAGCGGGCGCCGGTAACGTCTCCGTTGTGACAACCGTTACTGTGTTTGGCATCTCGAATACGCCACAGGGAGCTTGCCGGGCTCTGCCGTGCGGGCAGGATGCTCTCGGTAGCTTGCTGGGCTCTCTGAAGGGGGCGAAGGAATCGAACCCGGGTCGACTACGTGCAAGGCAAACGCCCTACCCGCTGTGCTATCGCTCCAGCCCACCACCCAATGTTCCTGCATTATTATTATTATTATTTGCATTAGACAAATCCGGTGCTTGCTAATAAAAAGCACAGGAGTGAATAATATAGCTACTATCAGGCCGGAGTGATCGTACAGCTGGGAGGACATTTGCCTTGTACACGGCCGACCCGGGTTCGATCCCCGGCATCCCATAGGGTCCTCCGAGCACCGCCAGGAGTGATTCCTGAGTGCAGAGCCAGGAGGAACCCCTGAGCATTGCCAGGTATTACCCAAAAAGCAAAATAATAATAATAATATAGCTGCCACCTTCTCATGCAACTGGCCCGGCCTGGTACCGGCAGCCGGCAGGTGACGAGCAGAACCACTCCTCAGCACAAAATGGACACAGTCACTAGGTTCTGACCTTGGCCCAGCTTCTCCTCCGAAACAACGGAGCGAGGCTAGGGTCCCCGCCTGGACATTTTGGAAATAAAATTCTCCTCTGTCTCTCCATCCCTCTCTGCGTCTTGTCTGGGCCTCGGATTTGAAGAAGATACAAAAAAAAAAAAAGTGGTGTGTGTGTGTCTGTGTGTGTGTGTGTGTGTGTGTGTACTTTTAAACTGCATTTGTCAGAGAGGTGTGGCAAGTGTCACCTAACCTGGAATTCTTGTTCTCTGGGGAGAAGTGTCCCGTCACCCGGCCAGTTCAGCCTAATCTCTGCGCCAGGCAGCTAGCGACCACCTCCTCCTCCCGCAGGCTGGAGCCCCCCACGGAGACAACCACCGCCCCCCCACCCAGAAGGTGCCAGAGTGCAGGAATTTCTCTGAGCCCCGCTTCCAAACCCACACACAACCCCTCCTTCCTTCCCTGCTGCAGTGCTAAAAACCGCTTCGGCTGAAGAAGACACTGAGAGGAGAAGTCAAAAAAGGAAACAGGAACAGAATCAAACTTTCAAAGAAAGAAAGAAAGAAGAGAGCCTGATAGAGCCGGCACAGGGGGCTTCTGCCGGCCTAGCCTCATGTCAAAATGAGCAAGGAGACCTCTTAGCACCCCGAGACAATGCAGTCCCGGCCTCTCTCTCAAGCCTGCCCGGCCTGGGCCCACAGTTGCCAAGCTGATCCCTGCAATTTCCCCTGCAACCCTCGGGAAGGGGCATTGTGTGAAGCCCTTGAGGGCTTCGAAAGGCTTCTCCGCCTCTCCACTTCCTTAGAAAGCGCTGAGTGGCCGGCCAGCTGTGTTGACCCTTAAGTCAGCTTTGAATTGCTCCTTCTTGGGTTCTTTTTTTTTTTTCCTCTCTCTTTTCTTTTCTTTTTCTCTTTTTAACAAACAGAAGAGAAATTCACAACCCAAATCCTCTCCTAAGCTCGGGTACTTTTCAATATGCCCGAGTGCCTGGAGGATGTGGACACTGGGACCTTCTCTAAGTAGAAAGATAAAGATTGGGGTGCCCACAATACCCCGGAGCAGACAAGAGACAGAGAGAGACAGAGAGAGAGAGAAAAAAAAATCCAATACAAGCTTGATTCCAAAGTGATCGCCAGAGCCTGGGTATGTGATGAAAATCTGCTCCCTTACCTAAAAAAAAAAAAAACTCTACTGCAAACCAAAAGGAGAGAGCGACTAAGAGGGAATGTGTCTGCCACTGAGGCAGTTTGGGGGGGATTGAGGGAGAGATACTGAGGACATCGGTGATGGAGAATGGGCACTGGTGGAGGGATGGGTACTCGATCCTTGTATGACTGAAACTTAAGCAAAAAATTTGAAAGTTTGCAAATCTGTAACTGCACCCCATGGTGATTCGTTAAAAAAATTAAATTAAAAATGTCAAAAAAAAAAAAACCACCAGCCTTCTCCTTCCGGAAGAGAAGGTGACAGCCAGCCAGGAGCTGCTCTTTCAGAGAGGCAGACCCCCAAAGGTCACCCCATGGCACCCCGGGGTGTGTGTTGGTGGGAATTTTTCCCTGGATATGGCGTGGGTTCACTGAAGAGGTGTCTGTGCCTGCCCGTTCAAATCAAACGCATCTGTTATTGTTTGTCTGGTTTTTTTTTCCTTTCTTTCTGTGCTGAAAATGTTCTCTTTTCCAAACAACAAAAACGTGGTCATTTTCTCTTCACATAGGAGTAAACCACTGGGGGGGGGGGGGGGGGTTGGAGAAGAAAGAGGGAGGGAGGAGGAGAGGGAGAGAGGGAGCGGGCGGGAAGAGAGCCGGGGAGGGGAGTTGGGGACCCCTGCAATAAAGCACTTTAAAAGAAGGTTCTTTGGTCCAGCCTGGGGCCTGGGGACCAGGGATGCTGCTTCTCTCCTGCGGGGAACCAGCTCGGGGCGCCTCACCCCTGCGCCCTGAGCCCCCTGCCCTTCAGTCCACTGCAGTGAGGCTGGCTAGGCACACACTCTCTTGGTCCGAGGGCGCCGGACCAAGCCCCCCACCCCGGCGGCCACTTTTTCCTTCCCTGCCAAGCTTGGCGCCTTCCCTCGGGCTCACAGCACCCGAGGGGCCAGGACACCAGGACTGAGTCTGGCCTTGGGGAATGCGCGAAACCCTCACTTTCTCTGGAATCCGCGCCTTGGGGCTCCCTGCAAACGCTCCAGAATATTCCCGCCGGCCAGCGGCCCAGGCGCGCACCCAGACCCAAACGCAGAGCGAGACGCTAGGCAGGACAGGGCATGGATTGAGGCTCCGAGCTGGGTCCCAACTTCTGGACTCTCTGCGCCCCAGTTTGTTTTTTTTTTTTTGCAAGACGTCAGTCGCGGGCACTGGGGGAGGGCGAGGTGGGGGACAGGTCCGGGACTGGGGAGGGGGGACCCCAGACAGAAGCAGCGAACAGGAGCTGGGCAGGGCATGTGCGCGGGGGGGCCCAGCGGGGGCCGGCGACCCTCCTGGGCCCGGTCTGCGGCGACAAGCGGGACGCGCGCGCGCGCGCCGACGCCAGCCCCGCCAAGCGCGCACGGGGTGGGCGCCTGGAAACGGGGTCCGAGCCCTTCCCGGGAACGGCGGCGACGGGGAGCTGAGGGACGGGGGGCACGCGGCCACACTCACTTTTCATAGTCGTACTTGCAATAGACCTTCTTGTCGCGGTAGAAGCAGGTGGTCTGCAGGGGCTCCTTGCAGGAGGCGCATTGCACGCACTGCTCGTGCCAAAAGCTGTCGTTGAGTCGCAGAAGGAACCGGTCGGAGATGACGCGCTCGCAGCCTTGGCACACCGACTTGGGACCCCCGGCGCCGCCTGCAACAGCCACGCACAGACGCGCGCGGTGAGCCGCGCGCCCGGGACGCACGCGACCCCCGCGCGCCTCCCGCCCCCTGGGGCCCAGATCCCCAGGGAGAAACTCCAGCGCCCGCCACTGGGTTTGTGCGAGCCACGAGGTGAAAGTCCACGGACCACGGGCCACGGACCACGGACGACCCGCGGAGATAACGCCAGCAAAGCCGCGGCGCGCGCGGCCCCGTGGACAATGAGACGCTTTTCGCCAACGCTTGAATCTCTCTGCCTCGCTGGAGGGGAGCGGAATTTTTTTTTTTTAAGTTGCATTTGTCGCACGAATTCAATTCCCCCCTCCCCCTTTCCGTTCAAACACAATTATGTTCAAGGTGGGCTTTATTTTATTTTTTTTTTCCTCTCTTCCCAGAGTGTAGGAAAACGGTACCGCGCCCCGCGTTCAAACGTTTGGTTTGAACGAAGCCCTCAAACCGGGGCGTTCAAATTGCAGGCTTTTTTTTTTTTCCTCCCGCAATGAAAGGAGCATCAAAGGAGAGTGGGGGGAATTTAAAAACAAACAAACAAACAAAAACCAAGGGAAAGGCCTGAAGCAGTCGCATCCCCAGGGGGCAACTGAACTCTCCAGAAGGTGTAGACGGCGGCTCAGACTCTCAGCCAGCCCGGGACAGGGACCAGGACGGGCCAGCGCGTCTCTGTCTTTGTTCACCTCTTTGTGGGTCTTATTTTTTTTTGAGGGGGGGGGGGGGTGTAGTGGAGAATGCTTGCCCGCTTGTGGGCACAGAGTCTGGCACTTAAAGCTGGCCTCGTCCGGCACCGGTGTGCCAAAGAGTCCCATTCCTTCCGATTTCCTGAGGCCACCCGGCAGGTTGGGCCCAGAGAAGCCGCCTCTGCGCCCCTTTTTAAAATTGTCGGTTCTTTCCGCACTGGGCCGCCCGGGGAACTGGGTGCGGGTATGAAAGAGCGATCTGTCGGTTGGCTAACGAGGGTCTCCTGCCCACAGCGCTAGGAGGGGGAGACGCTGCAGAATGGGGACACCCAAGGTGCAGAATTTCGTTTCATTTGGGGGGCTGGGACGCGTGTGTGTCTGGATTAGGCTTCTCCGTTCTGAATTTTTCATCCCCAACGCCTTCAAGCAGCTCTAGCGGACTCGAGTCTCCGAGGGGCAGAGAGTCTGAACCCCCCAAAGAAACGAAAAGGTGCCCGCTGGCTCTGTCTCTGTCTCTCTGTCTCTCTGTCTCTGTCTCTCTCTCTCTCTTTCTCTCTCTCTCTCTGTCTCTGTCTCTGTCTCTGTCTCTCTGTCTCTGTCTCTGTCTCTCTGTCTCTGTCTCTCTCTCTCTCTGTCTCTTTCCCTCTCTCTCTCATTTTCTCCTCTCTCCTCTCCGTCTCTCTCTCCCTCTCTTTTTCTCCCTCTCTCTCTCTCCTCTCTGTCTCTCTCTGTCTCTGTCTCTGTCTCTGCCTCTGCCTCTCTTTCTCAAGACACCTGAAATTCAGCTTCGGAGCTGGAAGTGGAGGGGGACAGAAAGCGGATTAAAGGGGAGCCAGAACCGTTCCTTGCCGCTGGGGGACAAACTCCGAGAGGCCCTTGGGTCACCCCGGGGTGCCGGGACGACGGACCGGAGCCTGGGCTCCAGTTAATTAAAGCAGAGGCGGGGGGCCCTGCCGTGCGGGCTAATCCCCACGCCGCGCTGCCCACCGGCCCGGAAAAGCCCCCGGGGCCCCGCGGTGCCCGGCGCTGGTGGGGGGGGACGAGACGCAGCCGCCGCGCGCGCCGGGGCGCTGGGGACCCGCGCTGGGGTGCGCGAGCGCGCCCCGGGGAGCCGCCAGGTCGCGTTTAAGCGACGTCCGTCAGCCGGTGATTAAAAAACCCGGCGCTGGCTCTTCCCGTTTAATCACTTGCCACTCACCCGTCTCCTCTCCCGCGGGCTCCCCGCCCCTCCGGGCGTTGGGGGGTTTGGGGGGCGCGCGCGCGCGGGGGCCCGGCGGGGGCGGCGGGTGGGTGGGAGGCGACGCGCGGACCCCGGGAGTGGGCTGCGGGGGGCGCACGGCTTCCCCCCTCACCCCACCCCGCTCGCCGGGCCGCTCCCGGAGGGGGGCCGCCTCTGGGGCCCGGAGCTGCCTCCCACCCACCCATCCCGTCGCGGGGCGAGGGGTGCGCCCGGGGCGCGCGCGCGCGCGTGGCCACTCACCCAGCAGGGAGGAGAAGGAGGCCGCGGGGTCCAGGGCGCTGGGGAAGTTCTCGTCCATCTTCAGGCCGTCCAACATGTTCGCGCCGGCGGGGCAGGACCTGCCAGGGGGACCCCGCGCGCCTGTCCGTTCCTCGCGCGCCCCTCGGCACGGAGAAGGTGGGGTGGGCGGGGACAGCGGGCGCCGGGCGCGGCGTTTTGTAGCCGGGCCTCCGCCCCCCAGCCGCGCGCCTCCTACCCCTGCCCCCCACCCCTCACCCCGCGCCCGGCTCCGCCCCGCGCCCTGCCCGCTCGCGGGGTGACTCGGGGGGTCGGGGCGCCGAGGGGCGCGTCCGGCACCCCCGCGGGACCCCCAGTCTCCAGCGGCGCCCGCAGCGCGCACCGTCTCCGGGGCCCGCGGGTCCTCCCCGCCCATCCCCTCACCTGCACGGGGCTGCGGGGGGTCTCGAGGCGCGCGCGGGGGTCCGGGGGGCTGCGGGGAGCGGCCGCCGCGCCGGCCGCGGCCCGGATTGTCCGCGGGAGCCGCGCCGTGGCCTGGGAGGAGGCGCGCCTGGCCCCGAGCCGTCCTGGCCGCGATTCAGACCCAGAAATCGCCGCCGCCCCCCAGGGCCCGGGGCGCCGCGCCCGCCTTACCTGCAAGCCCCGGACGCCCCCCTGCAGCGGGGACCCCCGAGGGGGCCGGCGGGCCGGGAGGACCCGCGCGCGCGCAGGGCCGGGCCGGGACGTGGCCGCTCGCGGCCGGCCTGCTCGGGGCGCGCGGCCCGGCGGGCCTCGGGGTTCCGGGGGGCCGCGGGGCGCTGGGCCCCGGCCCGGGGAGGGGGGTGGGGGCGCAGGGAGGGGGCTGGGGGGTTCCGGGCGCGCCCCTCGGCCGCCGCCACCTCGGGGAAGAGGCGAGTTTCCGCCCGGCCTCCGGCGCTGGGGGCTGCGGGGTGCGCGCGGGCCGGCCCCGGGGTGCGGCTGTAAGGGGTGGCCGCCCCCTTTCCCCCCAGCGGGGGGCCGACCCCAGAGAAGCGGAGGTCGCCAAGAGGGGTTCTCTCGGGGCACACGCCCGCCCGCATCCTGCTGGCGCGGGCACCACCCCACGGCCCTCCTCCCCCACCCCTGGCTCCAACTCGTGCCCCAGCACCCAGCACCCACCCCACTGTCCTTGCTGGGCATTACCGGCTCCGGGCTCGTGATCTGTGGGCCACAAACCCCAGGCCGCGGAGCACAGAGGGTGCCCCCAATGAGGGGCTCCGTGAGGTTCTCTGGGGACCCCCACCTACCCCCCCACAGGAGACGTAGCAGGAAGGCTGAGGTTTGGCAAGATGAACCCCAGATTTTCAGGGTGAATCTCCATTTTTCAAGGTGAACCCCAGCTTCTCAGGGTGAACCTCCAATTCTCAAGGTGAACCCCAGATTCTCAGGTGAACCCCAGCTTATCAAGGTGAGCCCCAGATTCTCAAGATGGACCCAGATTCTGAGGTGAACCCCAGATTCTCAGGGTGAACCCCAGATTCTCAGGGTGAACCTCCATTTTCAAGGTGAACCCCAGAATCTCAGGTGAACCCCAGATTCTCAAGGTGAACCCCAGATTCTCAGGGTGAATCTCCATTTTTCAAGGTGAACCCCAGAATCTCAGGTGAACCCCAGATTCTCAAGGTGAACCCCAGATTCTCAGGGTGAATCTCCATTTTTCAAGGTGAACCCCAGAATCTCAGGTGAACCCCAGATTCTCAAGGTGAACCCCAGATTCTCAGGGTGAATCTCCATTTTTCAAGGTGAACTCCAGATTCTCAGTTGAATCCCAGATTCTCAGGGTTCCCAGCTCCGGCCTCTCGCCACCTGCCCCACACCTGCTCTCAGAAGGGTGACGTGGGGGGCGGGGCGTGTCTGGGGCTCTAAGGGGCACCCCCACCTTCCACCCTGGACTCTCCTGGCCGTGCTTAGCTGCCAGAATCGAGTCGCACCCACCGTGTGGGAAGAATCTGGGGAGATTAAGGGGTCTGGGGGCTCGGGGAGGGGGTCTCTGCCTGGTGCCAGGTTCACGTGGTAGAACTGTTGGCACCTGTCCTTGGTTCTTTCTGCCACGGCGAGTCCAGCAGGGCATAAACATACAGTGTGTGTGTGTGTGTGTGTGTGTGTGTGTGTGGAATTAGAGAGGGAGAGAGAGGGAGAGACAGAGACAGAGTGTCTCAGGGCTGGGGGCAGGAGAGGACCGTGGGAGTGACCCCAACTCCTTCTCACTCTGCATCTGGGTTTGGGGCATCACTCGGCTGTGCTCCCGGCTTGGGGGTCTCCCTGGGTGGTGTCTATGGGGCCCATCAGCTAGTGTGGGCTGGCTGGTGGGTTTCTCTTCCGGAACCAGGCCTGTCCCGGACTGCAGGCGCCCAGCCCGGCTGTACTGACCATCCCGGGGGACCACTGCAGGACTGGGGAGGAGGAAGACCCCCTCCTGGTCTCGGGGGGGGGGTCTCCCTGGGAGTCCCCGCAGACCCAGAGTGGAGCTGAGCGCTCATAAAACTCGCAGGCACCGAGAGACCACCAGAGCCCAGCCTGAGGGTCCAGCTAGTGGACAGTGCAGGCCACCGGCCCCCTTTCTGCACACAGCACTTTGGGTCTGGAGGGAGGGGGGACCCTGAGGGTGCAGAACCCGAGGGGCAAACCCAGGCAGGAGGCTTCCCCCTGTTCCTCTGACCCCCAGAGTCCCACCCACTCAGCCCTTGGCCTCGGTCTCCCTGCACCCCTTTCTCCCACAACCTGCACCCAGCACTGTCTCGCAGCCTCCTGAGGACCCAGGTGCAGGCAGGAGTGAGAGGGAAGAGGCGGGGCGGGGGGGTTCCCCAGGGTGGTCTGGGCAAGGGATGTTCTTTATTGGGGTGCTCAGAGATCACTCCCAGCAGTGCAGAAGGCAGCAGGCTGGGTGCCAGAAACGGAACTGGGGTCGGTCCTGTCCCCTTCCCCCCCCCCCCCCCCCCCCCCCCGCCCCATGTGACCCTTTTCTCTGGCAGGAGATTGGGAAGGCGGCAGAGTGGACATGACAGGAACACGTTGTTTTACTTTCCTTGTCCTTTCTGTGTTTTATTAAGGGAAACACAAAGGGGAAATTGTGTGATTTGTCGGGAGGGGTGCGGGGCCCCCCAACACGTCCAAGCACATTTCAGGCCAAACGGGGAAGAAAAGCAGGCGCCTTCCGGGCCGTGTTGGGTGGGGGGTGGCGGGGGACAGGCGCCCCCCTCCCCGAGGCTGGCATGATGCGTCCCCCTGGAGCGAGCAGCCCTCTGTCCCCCCCCACCCCGGACAGTCCCAAGGCAAGCTGTCACCTCCCAGGGTGCATGGGGGCCCCCCAAACCAGTTGCTAGTGGAGCTGGTAGCTTACAGGGTCCACTAGACCAAGTGCCCAACTTTGACACTGGCCGGAGACACTGCGGCGGGTGCCCCCTTATCACGCTGCCCCCCAAGGGCCAGAGTGGGGAGAGATGAATCCTCTTGCACCCTGAGGGTCTGGGACATGGCCCGAGGTTGTGTCCAGCTGGGGCAGAGCCGGGCATCAGGTCTGGGCTCTGGACTCGGGGCCCCACGCTGAGGTCAAGGCCTGCAACAGCACGTGTGCTCCCCTCCATCCCTGGGGCCACCCCCGGTGGTCCAGCTCCAGGTCTGGGGGTGCTCCCGGCAGGGGCTGCGAGGACCAAGCCGGGGGCAGCGGGAAGGAACCAGGGCCCGTGGCAGGGATGGGGACGGCCAGTGGCTTAGCACCTGGAGTCTGGGGTCTCTGGAGTCTGCGGTTCTGGGGGGCCCCAAGCGGGCCTCGATGATGCCGGGACTGTCTGGGGCATGAGTCTGGCCGGAGAGGGCAGGTGACAAGCCTGGGACAGAGGACGGCACAGGGGGCAGCGACGCTGGCGGGTGGATCTCCCGAGAAGTCAGGGCGAAAGGGCCGACGCGACGGACAGGTTGGCACCAGCGTTTGACTCAGCCCTGGGGGAAACCGGGCCCCTCGCCCCCCAGAGCGAACCCTCCCACCCCACCCACCCCGACACACACCAAAACAACGCACAACGTGCGGGCAACGATGGGAGGGCTGGAGAGTCTCTGAGCAGCGGGGACAGGGTCGGCCCGGGCCGGGAAGGGTGGCAGGGGGTGACGGGGGGGGGGGGGGGGGTCCCAGGGTGGGTGCCGGGCGGAGGCTTGGGTGGGCGGCACACTTTCCCTTTGTGTCGTGAGGGTGGGAAGAAGAAAGGAGGTGATGGAGGAGGAAGGAGAGGAAAAGGAGGAGTGGGAAGGAGGAAGAGGAGAGAAGGAAAAGGAGGAGAAGGAGGAGGGGGAGGAGGGGACAGGGGAGGACGGAGAGTGGGGAGGAGGGAGAATGGGGAGGAGGGAGAATGGGGAGGAGGGAGAATGGGGAGGAGGGAGAGTCGGGAGGAGGGAGAGCAGAGAGGAAGGGGAAAGGGAGGAGAGGGAGTGGGGAGGAGGGGGAGTGAGGAGGAGGGGGAGTGGGGAGGAGGGAGAGTGGGTAAGAGGGGGAGCAGGGAGGAGGGGGAGTGGGGAGGAGGGGGAGCGAGGAGGAGGGGAGCAGGGAAGAGGGAAAGCAGGGAGGAGGGAGAACAAGGAGGTGGGGGAGTGGGGAGGAGGAAGAGCAAGGAGGAGGGGACAGCGGAGGAGGGGAGTGAGGAGAAGGGAGAATGGGGAGGAGGGGGCAGGGGAGGAGGGGGAGCAGGGAGGAGGGGCAGGGGGAGGGGAGTGGGGAGGAGGGAGAACAGGGAGGAGGGAGAATGGGGAAGAGGGGCAGTGGGGAGGAGGAGTAGCAGGGAGGAGGGGCAGGGGGAGGAGCACAGGCCCAGCCTCAGTCTACCCTGCAGGCAGGGAGCTTCTGACACGCTGCGGTTAAAGGGCCCGTGGCAGAGCCGGTGACAGTGGCCGATGCCCCCCCACCCCAGGACGCAGCAGGGAGGTGGCCGGGCAGCCCACCACCCTCTGGTCTAAGTGAGACATGCGGCCCCAGGGCCGGACCCTGGCGGACCCGGGAAGCACCGTGGGGTGCTGCCAGGGACCCGGGAAGTCGGTGCCGGGGGCAACCATGCAGGAGCGAGAGGGGCTTGGGCATGGGGCACGGTCAGCCCTGCTGCCCAGCGTCGGGCCGTGACCTCAGTGGTTTCCCAGCGAGCAGAGTGCACCCCGCCCTGACCCGGGGGGGCCCCCTGCCAAGGCTGAAGCCCCCAGGCTGGGTCTCGAACCTCTC